CGGTCACTGGCTGTGATACGTTGCCAACACGATAATGTAAATCATTGTTTGCATCTAGGTACCCTTTTCACACTGTTGTGAACTGTAATTTGTACAATTTTGTTCTGTTTATTTTTGTCTCCTTTTTTTCTTTTCTTAGTGATGTAGCTGGAGCGGGCGGTGCAGAGATACAAACGTGATCAGTACATGGAGTAATGAATTAATTAAATCCCCCCATTCTTTTATACACGTAATTTGCACATGACCAAATCATTATTTATCCTGTTACTTGTATATCATCATATTTATAGTTTGGTCTTGTATCAGTTCTTCAGGATATGTGCAACTGTATATGTTTCTGCTCGTGAATCTGAACACCTAGGCTTTGAGTGATTTTCCTTGAAAGTAACTCCTGCCGTGACAGATACTCTTCGTACTGTTTTACGCAAATAATTTTAAAGTAACAAAAGCTGCCAGTTACTTTACATGTGTAGTCATACTCAAGTTCAAAGGTGTCCCTAGCTCATTGAGACACGCTGATTCTATACGAGGCCGTTCTGTGATGCCGAATGTCATGCCGTCTGATATAGCTCCAGAGACTTGGACTCAACCGCATCTTCTTTTACTCTTACCCTTGACGGCTTTATTTCTTATCCAGGAATGACGGACCGGAGGAGGTCAGGGACGGTGGCGTTAGCCTATTTTACTTACGCAGTGACTTATCTACAAAAATCATTATTTCAACTTAATCCATGCTGATGCCACTGTGACTGAACACCTCACTTTATAGAAGGTTTGTGTCAAGGGCGCATAAAGCGTTGCTTCGGTCTCGTTGCTCTCTAGCCTAGTCCCCTTTCTGTTGCACACCCCTTTGTGTCATGCGAATTCGACTGCAGTTCTGAATTGTGGTACAGAGTAGAGGCTCATCGAGTATTTCATCAATGGTGATTTTTTTAATACCAATCTCCTAAGATCAAAACTCCCTCTGCGTTTCCGTAAGCTCAACACTTTCTTCGGAGTCGCAGTAAGCCGTAGGTTCTGCCACACATGCCACCTCACCACAAATAATATCGGCGAGTACACTTGGCTTAGACTAATCATCACTTCCAATCCTTCTCTCTTGTTTCTTCAGGTCAACTAGACGCACCGGATGCTCTCATCATGACCTGATTTCCTCTCCTACGTCGTCCTCAAACCCCCAAAACCCAAACCTAAGTTCCTGTACAGGCGTGCATTTAGGCGGTCTCCATGGATATGGAGAAATTGAGTGATGATGCTTCTACGTATGAGGAGCCAACCCCTGATCGATTCGCTGATGTGACATGAAAGTGTTTGGTTTATATAATATTCACGAGGTAGTGGACTACACTATATGCGGACCCATGCAACGGTTTAGAAAGGTTAGAGTTAAACGCCTCGTGCGCCCTGGCCCTCTATGACCCGAGGGGTGTATAGGTATCGGCATCATGAGAGCGAAATCCGTACTTGTTAGAACGTATAAGAGGGCCCGTGTCTGAAGTCAACTGGCACACTATATAGGACTGCGAGAGATCACTGTGCAATCAGATGACACGGACCGCTAAACGGCCGCCAGTTTTCGAAAATGTTATGTTCCCCCCTTTTGTCTTCCTCCCTGCACCGATAGGTGTGGAATGTCCTTGGCTCAACTCTGGTATTCATAGGTCGCGTCAGTAAGACCTTCTCAATCAAAAGTCTCGACTCCATGTATCCAACATTTCACGACCTAATCACTGTTGGACAGTCAATTCATGAACATGATACTCTTAGTTTACATCAGATGGTCTACCGCGCTCAACTTAAGTCCTTTATCCATCTTTGGTCCACTGGTCCGCACGAGGGAGAGATTAAGAAAATTGTCCTATCTACCGACAAGATTCCAGCGGTGGTGTGATGGCCATTAGTCGGAGAAGAAACCCATTGCTAGTCCACTCCTCCCGCTGCCATCTCCCATATCGTTAACTTCTCCCTAATTCATTCGTCTCAAAATATAAATAAATAAATAAAATAATAGTCGTCGGCACGTATTTCTATCTTTGTGGCGGAAATGACGTATGTACGCCATTACCTAAACTTGCCAAACCGTCTCTTCCACTCAGACTTTCGTTCACCATTCGATTCTGCCTTTCCTCTCCAAAGTGCTTTGAAAGCCCGCGTCCACAAACAGTTCTTCCCGCTTTATTTATGGTAACACAATTTACCCCTTGAGGTCCTTCTTCAGTTCCAACCATATGGGGGGGGGGGGTGTTTTCGCGGGTTTCGACCGCGGCCATAGAGGTTGCCCTCTGCGTAAAGTGACTGGTGGTCATCATTACTAGGTGGCGATGGAGAATCGCTTAATATAGGTTACTGCTTAGTAATGGTAGATTTTTCCAACTGCCTTCAATACCGTCAGTCATGAACCTCCGCTGTCCTAGAGTACATTTCTCGGTCTCTCGAGAGCACTGGACTGGTTTCTCCTCATACCATCAGGCCAGGCAGCAGCAGTCAGTCATTGATGATTGAAGACTCTTCATCGGCTGGCGCGTACTTTTGATGCGTCCCACAAGGCGGTATTCTTTTCCTCTTCTATTTCTATCTTCTATTAACCTCATCACCCCAAGACATCAGTGTTCCATCATCTCATATGCTGAGACTTTGATAGTTATACTATCAAACTGCGTTGTGTGCGAGTATCGTCCGCGGTCTCGATCCTCCCAAATATTGACCAGGCGGGGCCTTTAACAATCGCCGTCCAGATATGTTTGCGCGATCGCTCGTGAACCACAGAATGTAAATGCCAAGGTATTATCATCGGAAGTAACCGTCGTATGAGTCAGCTCGGATTTTGCTCACTACGTATACTACTATTACATAGAAGTGATGCCTATGTTCTGTGAAAGTTGAATTGACCTCGGAGTATAAATGCCACGAATCTTAGGCGAAAACAAGTAGTTGCATCTTGTGCCAGAAAGTCACAGGCTCGTTACGGCGGGCCCTCAAGGATTAAGAAACTTACTGCAATAAAAATAAAGTAATGCTGTGCGGGCCGTTTATAATCCATATAATGACTATGGTCGATATGTGCCTACTTGAACCTGAACGGCAGATTGCTCAATAAGCTTTGACGTCTTCTCCAACCAATTGCATTCGATTCGCTTTCAATTTACGCACAAGCTTTTTATGATCCGTTGTCTCAGCATCGCTCCCATTTGGCGCGTGGCTTCAATTCGCACAAGACGCAGAGAGACAGGGCATTAACTACCCTAGATCTTACTTTTTTCCCCTAGTTTACTTCTACTTAAACTACTCAACTTCAACATTTCAGTGGCAAACATGATTAATAAAACTTAAAGATCTTTCTAAGCAATCCTACTTCTTTCACTGTCCCAATACACGCTTGACTTAGCTGACATTCTACCCTTCTGGTAAGTTATGGAACGGGCTGCCTCGCAACTAAGTCTGGATCGCATCAGCCCGATGGAAAAATCGCAAACTTTTAAATACCTCGTGCAGGCAACAGCTCTCTAAACCCTTATCAGCTTCTACCTTGATACCTCTCTCTTCTAGATTATTATGTGAGTCTAATATATATAACAATATAATACGCTGTATAATTTAATGTAGTATAAATGTATATTATACTGTAATACAATACCCTATTACCTTATGTATGTGTGCCTAATTTTTCTTATGTCTGGCGACCCCCCCCCCTAGTCGAAAGCAGCGCGGTTAACAATACCTGATTAATTATTACAGTCCAACTTGTAAAGACAAATATTTGTACGAACAAATTAGTATTAAAAGGTTTACCATCACATAGTCACACGTCTTCGTCAAGCTCCCTTAAAAATCACACAGTTATCAACAGAAATGATAATTTATTGTCTAGACCACTTTTTGGTCACAATGAGCCGGATATCGGATCGGGCGGCCAGCCGAGCGCTGCTGTACCGGAGAACAATAGACACTAACATTCCACGAGCGATAAGGATGAAAAGATATTTTACTATAAAATTATACGTGTTTTACGAAGTAAATTTGCATTGGTTGGACTTCGGACTGTTAATTAATTACAATATGGAAGAACTTGGTGTATTCACAAAGAACTATTAGAAAATTGAATAAGGGCTGAGAAGAACTATAAAGTCGCCTAAAGGACAGGATAAAGCGCACGTATTTGGAAACAAGGTTGAATCTTAGAAGATCCTTTGGGAAGGCCCTTTAAGGAAGGGACACAAACATGAATTCAAAACTTACTAAGATGAAGATAGGGACGATTCTTATTTTATAAAAGGAAAAGATTTTTTTAAAAACGTTACGAAGATGTTTGACGACGTATATATTACAACACAAATCGATGTTTGAAAGATGTTGTCATACTTCAATCGTTTTCAGTTCCATGCCCGCATGTACACCGATCAAACATACGGACACTGTAAGTGATCTAGCACATTCTACAAAAAGGGTATGTTAAACTACCTCCGCATTCAGATACCTAATTAGTGGTAGATATAAAGAGGGCAGTTTTTTACGACTTATTTTAGTCCTCTGCTACAAAAAATAAATCTTTGTCACCAGTACAGAAGTTACATATACCTTTAAAAGTAATTATCAGGAGAAACCAGAAGTTTTACTCACGCATTTCACCACTACGAATGCAACTATGACGAGGCTGAGATGAACTTGAGAAACGATTACAATAAATTAATTTACGGTTACAACGCCTAACGAATTTTAAGAACGTTATTTTACACAAAAAAATATACAAATTGCGTCGGCAGTTCCATAAAACAATTCGATAGACACTACACGACTTGTTTTAAAGCTTTGAAACGAATAAGAGGTGGAGACTGATACTTGGGACATGATTATTAAACTACTTCGTATTATAAAATTAGATACGAAGTCTGTAAAGGAGAAGTGGGAACAATACTTGAGCGGTAGTAGTTGTGACTAACTACCTCTTGGGCCGGATGGATTAAGGAGATTTCATGAGAAACCCAGATTTAGATACTTTAGAAATGATGGATAGCCTAAAACAAGAGGAGTACAATTCCAGTCTGTTTGTAAACCTTAAAATGTTTCATTCGATACAGTTAAAGATATGCAATGGTGTCATTATGTATATCACCTGCAAGAAGTTTGGTGATTATGTCACTAACAGAGCGACAAGACTTGTTCAACAGAGTACAGTAAACTATGCTTCAGATGTTTCGGCGCCGTCACACCAGTCGGTCAGATGTCGGCAGGGCAGCGTGGTTGTCGACCGCGGCGACGTTTCCATCACACCAACTGCTACCATCGTAAAAGAGTCCACGCAGACAGAAAACACAATAGCAGGGTGAGACTTCACAACCAGGTATGCGTCACGAGCAGCCGAGAGGTAAGTCGTTACTGCATTTATCGAATGATACACATATTTAACCAACTTTTTAGAAAAAATGCTTTGATAACAAACAGTGTTCTATCTAGCTACCGCAAGCGTGGTGTGGTCGATTAGTAGGAATGGTTGTATAATCTTTAATAGAGCCTGATAGACCCAGCGGTTTTTTCCAGGTGGCACGCATCATTTGTAACGAAGCGACAGGCCCCCAGTTACTAATATCACGCTTCAGTAGATGTGTTAGGTGAGTGGCTTGGGTTAGGCGTGGGAGAGGCGGCCAAACGATTGAATCAAACACACGGGTCACTTTATCCTGAAATACAGCCACACAATTAACCCGAAGTATTTAGTTGGAGAGGCTAACGCGTATGTTATTGCGTTCCGTTAACAACGCTGTTTTTACCTTAGCCACTAGTCTTTGACTCCGAGTGGGGGACATAAAAAAACTTACAATTGGGCTGATCCCAGGTTACCTGATTTCTCGCAGGTTAAAAATTGATAGTGTATACTTGGGTCTGATAGTATACAGTTGAAATTCATCGTATATGGTCTTATTAGCTCGTCCAGCAGATAAACTACACACTAGTCCCAAATACGAGATTCTAGGCATGGCGTGATTCAGCGAAGGATGTCACAAAACCTACCTCCCAGAGGTGGAAAAAATATCACGATCGTACCTACATGTCAAAACATACAAGAGAGATGACTAAAAGCTGTTTGGGAAGTAGAAACCCCAGAAGCCCACACAAAAATACAATATAAAGACTTTTTTCAAGAAGAAGAAAAAGAGATGTGAGAGGCGTTGTATGATGAGACAGACAGTAAGAAATCGAGGCCGGTGCTCTTGTGTAGTATGGGTACGCAATTAAACATGAAAACCCTCAGAAATTCAGCACGGTAAATTGGGGAGATAGCCGCCCAAAAAGATTGTTTTGGAGTTATGTTTGGTAGACTGAAAGGGAAAAGGTATCCTTCAACACGAATGCGGAACCCCTGCGTCGTAAGGACTTATCAAGTCAGAGTCATAAACGTAGTACATAGATTAAAAAGTATGGTTCAGTGAGGTTCTTATTTATATTGACAACCGAGGCTGTCTACATACATTCACCATGCCGATACGAAGAAGACAAATATACTACAAAAATTGAGAGTTGCTCCTGACATTACCGGTGTAAGGCCGCTTTAACAATATCGCTTTCTTTAAACGATGAGCTTCTCGTTGCGGCCCGAAATTGCCCAGAAAGATCTTCGTCACATACTGAGCGGAGATGGAGAAGTCACAAACATACTGAATAGTTGCATTCATATTAGATATAATTAAAGTAATAGAATTGGTTCCAGCGTAGGAGGAAGAAAGAGTTCAAACTAATCAGGGAATTATGGAGATTTCAACAGAATGAGCAGTTAAACACTTTAAGCTTAGAGAGGTTTCAACATATTGGTTGGAACAGCCTGTCGCACCATACTGCTGTGAAATCGCTTCAGAGGTTTATTTGTCTGATGATGAAAATCTAAGTTCTTCGTTGCCCAGCAGAGCGAATTATAACCAAAGAGTGATTTCGATATGGAATGACAATTAGGGACTGAGGAGAGAAGAGGAGGTGGAAGTGGTAGTCATTACAAGAAGACGCAGAAAATAATGAACCCGTAGGAGGATTCGAGCTCCATATAAATGTGGGAGTAGAATAATGAAAAATGTAATGCCAGTACATCGGTGAAAATAAACACACGGATCGATCAGAGCATGGCGTTCACGCTTACATAGTATAGTTTAAAGTGACTAGGTGTAGATTTGGAATCGTTCATTACAAGATAGTTCGTGACATATACATTAAAGCAGGTGAGAGCATAAGGAGGAGGACATTTTGCTAAATTGGTACAACCAAAATAGAAACAAAGTCACAGTTAATGAGTTCTTTTAACTGAAAAAATCTTTATAAATATATACAGAAATCCAATTTTAATTAACTCACTAAACGACTTTTGGTGATTTGATTGTTTATGGTGGATAATCCTGGATTGCTTATTAATATTAATTATATGTTAAGATTTGTCTCATAACATTGGTATTATTAAATATTAAATACACAAATAAAATGAACATAAATAATACTAATAAGTATTGATATCATACTGAATGTCGATTGCTAAAGGCACCATATTGTATTTTATGATATTTAGACAAAATCACATTAAGATGTTAATAAATAATATAATGATACTCAATGTTAATAATAGGAATAAACTTTATATTAAGCGTTGTTGCTAAAATTATGCCAGAGTAAAGTTAAATAATGATTGCTATGTATTTTAAGTTTATTGTTGGACAATGTTATTTTGGGAATAAAGGTTATTATTATTATTATAAGCCACAAGAAATAAGCAAATTGATTAGACGTTACATTCTTCTGAGAGTATGCAAAAACTATAATTGACCCATTAGGCATGTGATAAGCTCCGGGGTTTTATAGCGAAAATGATATACAGAAGCTATGGAAGAGAGGGTCTGGAATGGGACGATTTCTGTAAACGGTGAGTTGCTAGAAGAATGGTTACAAGAGAGAAAGTTTGATTCACATTAAGGAGGTTCGTATACGAGGTGGTTGCCACAGCTCTAATACAGCTAAGATTGAGTTACATGCATTTGCGACGCTTCAAGAGTGCGCCTATGGGATTTGTATAGAGCCGTTATCCAAGAGGACAGAGCTTACGTAATCATATCCGCCGCAAAAACTAAAGTGACATCCTATTGCGAGAGGCAACTTTTCTAAATACCCAGATTGAAAATGTCACTGAACATACCAACAATAGATTATATGTTGGCCAGACTTGACCATAGTACTAGCGGGCTGCTGAAAAGGCGGCTCTAGTAAGTGCCGAACACACTTTTGTAAGAACACGAGTTGTCTGATATATTATAATATTATGAGATTATTGATCAATGGTCCATGATTGCAACAGATGTGAACCGCATCAGTAAGGAATGCGCCTCTCAAGACGGGCCTGCAAGCCATCAGAATTGGTAAATCACTCACTGGGTTGGAAGCGGAGCCGACGCTGTCAGTCACTACACTTACCATATTACAGTTACTGATTGACATTGCAGGTAGACGAGAAGAAGAGGAAAAGAGTCGTGTGCCATTCACTGCGTCTTACACATCGAAGACAATTATATTGGGTAAATGCTGATACCTCAGCTTATCTAAAATGTTGAGAATCGTAATGAGTCTATTACTGTCGGAGATGGTTAAATTGTTCAAACTAGGTCTAAGGAAAAAAACGTAAAGTCTACCCCAAATAACGTGTACTAGTAAGGAAATATCTGAAACTTTTAGAAATGTGTGTTAAAACAGGTTCAGCATAGGATTTAACGAAGAAATAAAGCAAGGTAAATATAACAGATCTGCGTACTAAACAGCTAAGCAAATCTTCGCGTATCTCTGTTTAATCCCATCTTGACGTTCAGAATGTATATTACAAGAGTGGATGGACGTATACGAATGTCCCCAAATAGCGTTTGAGACACGGCATCCTATAATTCTACACTGCTATAAGAATAATCCTTAGCGACTTGATTAATTGTAGATGCGCACCACAAGATACAATGCATGAATTATTTACGTGTCGAAATATGGATATTACGTTGCTAAAGACGCGAGCCCAAAAAATGCCGTAATCGTAGGTATAACTGGCATTAGAATATCCACAAAAAACAACCCACAATAAGGGTCAATACCAACCTGGTACGACCGAAAGCCTAGAAAAACCCATTCCAGGACGCTGGCGTAGATGAACGGTAGGTCCCCATTATTATAGATTTCCCCAGCCAAGGAAGCGAAATACTATTAAAGGATATTTCTGCTTTGCTTGTTTGCCATGGTCTGACGCGAGCATGTTTGCACTTAGAAGCTGCGCACCAAACAGTATATGCCAGCTAGGTTATCATCGCGCACTTTCAGAAAGGTTTACTTCGAGACGAGTCATTGTTGTATGACCTTTATAGTGAACAATGGTACGACTTGCGTTGGTGCGAAGAAGCTACTAGGAGACATGCCTCTTTAAAGCCCGCTATGTCATCAATCCCCCACAGTGAAATATCACAGTTATTGGACATTAGAACCCGACCAATAAGGCATTATATACATCTCCACATGGCCACCTTAACTTCGGAGGTCTGTGGGAGGCGGGTGTACGCGCACAAAAACACATGTTTCAAAAAAGAGTTATCGGGAATGACAACACTTACATATGATAAGAAATAACTATACAGGATTAGCTCAAGTTGAAGCGTGTACTAAATTCTGCGCCGTCCCCATAAACCTTGGTAAATGATGATGACCCTAATGACCCCACCCTTGCACCCTGATCATCAGGGCCACTTTCATTAATTTGGTGAAGCACTTTTACTGACTTGTAGTGACGAACACCTAATACGCAACAAATGAGTACTCCTACCATGAGAGATGGCGGATTGCACACAGAAAATGGTCACGTTCTGCGAACCCTAGGTGGGTTATTAAAGAATATTCTAGCTTAATCTAAATCAGCGTTATAATGGAATATTTAAGAAAGCTGAAACCAGAAATCGATGACATAGTAGATATTAAAAGAAGACACTATCCCACCGGAGGAAATGGATGCTAGGTAGAATATAGGAAAAACATGTGGGTCCCAGCTAAAATACACAGGGTTGGATCCGTTAAAGAGGTGTAAAACTGGGCGTCTTTAAGAGACCAGTGAGCAAGATAGCTCTATGTGTCATAAACAATAAAATGAACTGGAAATGTGTATTAATCGAGTATTTATTTGTTTACTTTTTTTTTATTACAAAGTTATTACTTTATACTTGTTCATTTAAACTTATCAGTCTTACTACCTCAGATTACTGTAAATGTTGTATCAGCAGACGATTTTGTTACTCACAGGAAAGGGAACCTGTAACCTCTGTGACATATACGACGG